TGGAAAAATAGATTGTGTGGCTCTTTGAGGTCTCAAACACAACTGAGAAAAATCATCACAGGTGTAATTAGGTAATGTTCAGTTAGCCAATCCACTAAAATTTCAGAGATATAAGTTTCCTAGATTGTTTCAGTTGTTAGCAAGTTCTCCCAATCTAATGTTAGTAATAAAAAAAATAACAATTCAAATTACCTGAAATTTCTGAATGCAGAATGATAGTTCAACTTTTTAATCAAGAGATCTCTTTTTTTTTTTTTAAGTTGAAATCTTCTCCGTCGCCCAGGCTGGAGTGCAGTGGCATGCTCACAGCCACCCAGTGTTGACCTGCCAGGCTCCAGCCATCCTTCTGCCCCAGCCTTACAAGTAGCCAGACCTACAGGCACGCGCTGCCATGCCGGCTAATTTTTTATTTATTTTAGAGACAAGGTCTCACCAAGTTGCCCAAGCTGGTCTCAAACCTGTGGGTTCAGGCAATCCATTTGCGTCGGCCCCTCAAAGTGCTGGGATTACAGACTGAGCCACCCAGCCTGACCAAGAGGTCTCTTTTAGAGAGTGGATTCATATTGAGGTTCCTGGGCATTTGAAAGATAGAGGAAACTTGTCCCCAAAATGAACAAAGCTGAATAAGAGGACAGGATATGTTACTATCTCCCCAGTAAGTTTGTTCTTCTGCATTACCCTCAGGCCCATTATTGTTATTCCCTCCTCCTTCACCAGTGTAAATGTTTTATTTTCCCTTCTTTGTGCCTTTACTGCCATGGATCATAGAGGGACGTTACCTATGACAATACACACCAACTTATGCATTGCATTGACAACACCGAAAGTATATTTAACACTTTTGCAATTACTGAGCCTCTATGAGAAAGGGTGAAAAGTAAATTTAATTCCTCCCTTCTATAATCCTCATTAAAGAGAGCTTCTTGGAGAGTCAGTCTTTTGGCTGAATTCTAGGAGAGAAATGCAAAACCCAGAGCTTGTCAAGAAAGGTCAGTGGCCCAGGTTAGAAGAGAAAATGTATGCAATAACTTCAATGATATTTATTAAATATTATAATTTGAAAATAATTATAATAATTTATAATGTTATAATTTGAAAATAATTTCAGCCTCCAGTATTACAGTTTAGGATATCTTATAACTTGTCATTCAAACAAGAACATTTCTGAGTATGGAAGGGTTCTATTAGTAATTACATCAGGACAGCAAGAGTAAACTCAGCAGTCTTGTGCAAACTGAGACATGAGGTCATCCTAAATATATGAACTTGAGGGCATTTTCCAACACTTGCTAACTCAAGGAAATTGTGAGCTTGTAAAATCTCTCTTTACTGATTTTATTTGTTCTGCTTTTAGAATTTCTATAATGGGTAGCAACACATACATATATATAATATATATATAATATATATTTTGCCAATAAGATGCCCAATGCCACCATACTTCAGCCTTTAGAAAATGTCCATGTAGGTTAATTTAGGCTTAGTTTCAAGAACCTAATAAGAGATTAAAATCTAAACTCATAAGATTTGTAATAGTACTGAAGTCTAAAGCAATGCAGAGTAAGAGGAAGTAGGGCACTTAAAGTTGTCTTATAAGAATATTTGTTTATTAAAAATTAAAAAGATGAAGTAAAGTTAAATAATAACAATTCTTGTGTTTTTTAAAATTTCAATATCTTTAGGGGGTACAAATAGTTTTTGGTTACATGGTTATATTATATAGTGGCAAAGAAGTCTAGGCTTTAAGTGTACCCACTACTCCCACATATGTACCCAATAGGTGATTTTTTTTTATCCCTCCACCCTTTTCCACCCTCTCCCTTCTGAGTCTCTGATGTCCATTATGCCATTCTATATGTCTTTGCAGATCCTTAATTTAGCTCCATTTATAGATGAGAACATGCAGTGCTTGATTTTCTGTTCCTGCATTCATTCACTTAGGATGATGTTCTCCACTTCTATCAAAGTTGCTGCAAAAGACATTATTTAATTTTTTTTCATGACTGAATAGTATTTCAGCCATACACACACACACACACACACACACACACACACACACTCACATATGTACTATAATACATATGTGTTTATGCACATATACACACACACATATATATATCATCTGATATCACATACGTATATATCACATTTTCATTATCCTCTAATTAGTTGATGGGCATTTAGGCTGATTCCACATCTTTGCAATTACGATGTGCTGCAATAAACATCCAAGTGCAGGTATCTTTTTTGTATAACGACATTTGTTCCTTTGTATAGATACCTTGTAGTGGGATTGCTGGATCGAATGGTAGACCTACTTTTAGATATCTCCATACTGATCTTTGACATAATGTCCATGCTGATTTCCATAGAAGTTGTACTAATTTGCACTCCCACAGTTTGTAAGCATTCTCTTTTTACCACATCTACACTAGCATCTATTGTTTTCAGGATTTTTAATAATAACAATTCTCACTGCTCATGGTTTTTAAAAAATTTATTGCTGAATAGTCAGAATGATTGTGGCTTTAATTTGCATTTCCCTGATGATTAGTGCTGTTAAAACTTTTAATATATTTGTTGGCCATTTGTGTATCTTCTTTTGAAAGATGTTTGTTCATGTCATTTGCTCACTTTTTAGTGAAGTTATTTGCTTTTTTCTTGCTAATTTGTTTGCGTTATTTCTTAATTTTTTTTAGATGTATAATTGGTGAATATCTTCTCCCATTCTCTAGGTTGCCTGTTTACTCTGTTGATGATTTCTTTTGCTGTGCAGAAGCTTTTTAGTCTAATGAAGTCCTACTTATTTGTTTTTGCTTTTGTTGTATTTGTTTTTGGAGATTTAGTCATAAATCATTTGCCTAGGCCAATGTCCAGAAGAGTTTTTTCTAGGTTTTCTTCAAGGATTTTTATGGTTTCAGGTCTGACATTTAAGTCATTAATCTATCTTGAGTTAATTTTTGTATATGATAATAGAAAGGGATCAAGTTTCATTTTTCTGCATGTAACTATCAATTTTCCCAGAACCATTTGTTGAATAAGCTGTCCTTTCTCTAGTGTATGTATTTGTCTAAGATCAGTTTTCTGTAGGTATTTGGGTTTATTTCTGGATTCTCTATTCTGTTCTATTGGTTCATGTGTCTGTTCTTGTACTAATACCATACTGTTTTGGTTACTGTGTTCTTTTATTAAAGTTTGAGGTCTGGCAATATGATGTCTCTGGCTTTGCTCTCTTTACTTAGGACAGCTTTAGCTATTCAGGTTCTTTTTTGCTTCCATTTGAATTTAAGTATTGCTTTTACTAGACCTGTGAAAAATGACACTGGTAGTTTAATAGAGATTGTGCTAGTATTTTCTTATAGTATCAAAGTATAAAGCAATGCTTGTCTTTATAGTAAAATGCAGAGTATGAGGAAGTGAGTGGTGCACTTAAAGTTAAGTATTATAATATTTGTTTATCAAAAATTAGAAAGGACGGGAGTAAAGTTAAATATTATAATCTGATTTACTCTCTTCTGTTCCATTCCCATTTCCCAGAGGTAACAATTTTTAACACTTCTTCAGTATTTCCAGGTAATTTTATACATATGTGAATATTTGTATATTACATTATATTCCCTTAGGTAAACACATAGTAGCATGTTAAATATGTGTTCAGAAGTTGACTTTTTCCTTAAAGAGTTTAGGTTTTTTGCATGTTTGTATCTATATATGATTTTATATCTAGACCATATCCCCGAGTCTATTGACAGCTCCATAGCAATGAGTCTTTTTTGAGAGACTATAAAAGTCTTATTTGCCATTTTGTACAAAGAACTGTGGATCAAATCAGCAAAATTAAAATACACATTGAATAATAATTCAAAATTCATGTTCCTATTATTAAATGCACATTTTTACAACAAAATAAAGATAAAATAATAGAAGATAGTGTTAGTAAGCTAGATGACTTTGGGACGGATAAATTTTCAGCTGCTGTTTTTGCCTTATATTAGTACATCCAGCAAATTTAGGGCACTGAACAACCTCTCCCTGACTTTCTCAGCGTTCCTGCATCAAATGATACTTTCTTTCACATTGTTGTGTGGCATTATGCCAGGCAATTTACACTGTAGATCACATTTATACTTCACATCAGATAGTTACTCTTACCACTGTTATTGAAGTTGGCAGTTTTGGAGTTGTGGAGGGAGTGGGAAGGCAAGTTTTCAACTCACAGTGTCCTTTTCCATGGTTAACCCTAGAACAGTTCTAAAAACCATAAGCAATTTCTCTCTGAGCATCAGAAGATGACTATAATTTCTTTTGTCCACATTTCACACCACTACACCAAAAAGGCATTATTATATTCACTTTATAGATAAAGAGCCTGAAGCTCATAGATAAGAAACATTCTGAGGATGATATAACTAATGACTTATGAGGTAGGGAATTTCACCTGGCTTGTCTGCCTTCAAATTCCATGCCACTATTATCTTTATTCTGAATCTACAAAATCTTAAAAGACAAAAAAAAAAATGTATCCGATAACTCACTAGAATCTATCTACACAGTTTTTCGGGTGATTTAAATAACTTCAGTTGTTTCATATGGCAAGAAAATCTTGACATTGAGAAATTGGAGTGAAAAAGTTATGTGGTAGAGTTTATGATGAATCTGTCTAATAATAGCCTGCTATGTGGGAAGTAGCACAAACACAAATGACAAAAAAAAAGAACAATTTTTATGCAAGTTGTTTAAATCAGGAATTTACTTTTTAATTTTGGTTTTCACATTTGAAGTAGTGATACAGATATGGAAATATTAAATTTTATAAATACTTAGATAATTATCAATATTTTCAACTGTATAGTTTTTATATTATAAGCAATATCAGTTCTGGAAATGCCTTTAAACAAGTAAAAAATGATTATAAGTAATCAAAATCATTAATAAATATGTGTTAATCTAGACTCCTTAAATTTTTGTGTTTCAGGAAAACATGAGTTGAAACATTAATCATGAATTGGGTAAATGAGAGCATTATACAGGATTTCATTCTGCTAGGTTTCTCTGATCAACCATGGCTGGAGTTTCCACTCTTTGTGGTCTTCTTGATTTCTTACATTGTGACCATCTTTGGCAATCTGACCATTATTCTAGTGTCACGCCTGGACTCCAAACTCCACACCCCCATGTATTTTTTTCTTGCCAATCTGTCGCTCCTAGATCTTTGTTACACTACATGTACAGTTCCACAAATGTTGGTAAACTTACGCAGCATCAGGAAAGTAATCAGTTATGGCGGCTGTGTAGCCCAGCGTTTTATGTTTCTGGCATTGGGGGCTACTGAATGTGTTCTCCTGGCTGTCATGTCTGTTGATAGGTTTGTAGCTATTTGTCGGCCTCTCCATTACTCAGTTATTATGCACCAGAGGCTCTGCCTCCAGTTGGCAGCTGCATCCTGGATTACTGGTTTCAGTAACTCAGTGTGGCTGTCTTCCCTGACACTCCAGCTGCCACTCTGTGGCCCGTATGTAATAGATCACTTTCTCTGTGAAATTCCTGCATTGCTCAAGTTGTCCTGTGCTGAAACAACAGCAAATGAGGCTGAACTATTCTTTGTTAGTGTGCTGTTCCATCTAATACCCCTAACCCTCATCTTTATAACGTATGTTTTTATTTCCCAAGCAATCTTGAGAATCCAATCTGCTGAAGGTCGACAGAAAGCATTTGGGACATGTGGCTCCCATCTAATTGTGGTGCCACTTTTTTATGGGACTGCCATCTCTGTGTACCTGCAGCCACCTTCACCCAACTCCAAGGACCAGGGAAAGATGGTGTCCCTCTTCTATGGAATCATTGCACCCATGCTGAACCCCCTTATATATACACTTAGGAACAGAGAGGTAAAAGAAGCCTTTAAAAGGTTGGCTGCAAGAGTCTTCTTAATCAATAACTAGAATATACAAATGATAAGCTTTGTTAAAGACATAATATTTTCTTAGCTTACTAACTTCTCTTCATGTTGCCCTATTTTTATCATTCCTATGGGAAACTATTATGACCTCCATAAAATAAAACTCCACTGACAAAAGGCTACATTTGTTTTTTGTTGCCTAAACATATTCATTGAAAAGCCCCCACAATTGGTTTTCCAGTTCACCGAAACTGTGTAATCACAATATCTTCAAGATTTGTCAAGCTGCTTTACATTTTTTTTTTTTGAGTTGGAGTCTCACTCTGTCGCCCAGACTAGAGTGCAGTGGCCACTTCCGGCCACCGCAGCCTCGACCTG